TTTTTTTTTTTTTTTTTGGATGGTTACTCATCCTACAGTTCAATGACCCGAGACACGAAGCAACAACAGACTCTCTCCCTGTACCTGAAGGAGGGTGTCTGTAGGAAAAAGTTGTTCTTTGCAAACTTTCCACAACTGTTCCTGTTGGTCTAATAAGAGATCACATTTACCTAAAGAACCTTGTGTCTACCTGGGATGATGCAGGCACCCCTTTTATCTCTGTTAGTCAGTGTTCTGGTGTGTTCAGGTCCCCACTGCTCTGAGTTGTTGGGTACTTACGGAAACAACTTGGGTAGAGCAAGATAAGAGGTCTGACGAGTCCAAATGAACACTTTTTTTAATGTGCACTCACAAAAGTTGGGCCCAGTCTACAATAGGGTCCAACCAGTGAAATGGGCACGCACGGAGCTCTTCTGGAGCAGCAGAACCCTCCTTTCACCTGGAAGGGTTACACTGGCTTGGCAGAAGTGGAATCCAGCTGCTGCTCTTGCTGGCTGGTGGGGCAGCTGGTTTCATCCCAGAGCACATGCCCAGAAGCACCTGAGCATGCATGCGGTCCAGTGACTTAGTGATGGTGGCTGCTTTCAGCCACCACAGCTTTTGGTGGTAGAGACAGGCAAGTATAGATGCACCATGTTCCTTCCTAGCTGGCATTTCCAAGTGGCTTCTGTGTGTAGTGCTCAACAGAGTCTGTTGCACTAATCCAGCTGGCAGGGGGGAAGAGTAGCCATTTGTGAAGTGAGGCTGCAGTCTCCTTGTTAAGCCCAGTTAAGGAGCTGGGAAGGCAGGATCCCAGACTGCATCCCAGAGCAAGGTAGAATAACCACATACCAAACTGTCCTGTCTTCATGTTCCCAGATTTCCTGCGCCCTGTCTGAAAAGGCAGAACAATGAGCAAAACAGAAGCAGAACAAAGATGGAGCCACCGTTGTAGCTCTGTGTTGTGGGTTTGCTCAGCTCAGGCTTTAGCAGTGATTGAGGTTGGAGGTATTGTCCACATATACTAGTATAATTTTTTTATGCCTGCTGTCAGCAGTGAGGAATAGTCACTTCTAGACTACTTGTCCTGATAATTGCTTGGGAGCAGCTGGGGGCCTTGCCACAGGTTGCTCCATCTCTAAAAACCCAACAAATGCACTGTGCAAGTCAACTTGGCGTAGGTCCACTTGGAATTTTAACCATTTTAGAAGTACACCACCTCAAGCAAGGGCTCTGTGCCCTGTGTGCATGCAGCTAGGGCTGTGTTGCGTGGCTCCAGTGATTCCTCACAGCTCTCTGCCCCTGTTAGCAGGTTTGGCGCTGCATGGCCTGGATTCTCTTCCTACTCAAGTGCCATCGGTAGAACTGTTTAGTAGGCTCTGCTGTCAGTCATTTTGTACAAATCTAAAGGCAGTGGGTTTAGACTGTATAAATGGCTGCTTATTAGGGCTGTGCAAAGCTTCAGTCCCTGATTCAATTCGGTGGCTGAATCTCCAAATCCAAATGGAATCGGAGGACCCTTTAATCTCTCTGAATTGAATCAGAGATTCTGCAGTTCAGACACAGATGCAGCTTTCAATGTTTTTCTACATATCTCTAGGTAGCAGGTGGCTCAGAAGTGCTGTGATGCTGGGAGGCATGGAGTGTCCTACAGAAGCACGGGGTGGGGCGTCCCCAGCGGCCTGCAAGTGGACCAGAAGCACTTCCAGTCTGCTGGGGAGTGCGCGGGGAGGGTCCTCGGCTCTGTGATTGGTACCTCCTAGGTCTGGGGGGGTACCTGGGGTCCCCCCACAACCAATCACCAAGTGGTGTTAGGTGCAGGTCAGGTGCACGCTCCCCAGCAGACCTGGAAGTGGACCAGAAGTACTTCTGGTTCACTGCCGAGCATGCAGGGGGCCCCCCACACTCCTGTGAGATGCTCCATCCGCCCCAGCATCACAGTGATCTCAAGCCACGCTGGTAGTTCGAGGTACGTAGAAAAAACATTTTAAAGCTGTATCTGTGTCCAAATCGCTGATTCTCTGACTCTGCATTGAATCTTCATATTTGGATTTGGGTGAATTGAATCGGGGGCAGTGATCCAAATCAAAGAATTGAATCTCTGTCCCTGAATCGGGCTGAATCTGGATTGAATAGGGCCTACTTCACACACCCCTACTGCTTATGGCAAGAGGTCATGGAAGGGGAAGAGTCTGGCTTGCTTTTTTCAGACCCTGGAACCTATTGGGGAAAATATCTTGTTAACTGAGCCTGTGTAGCACGTGAAATGCTTTGCTCAGTGGTGCTAGGGCTTCATGAGCTGTGGGTAGGCAAGTGTGGGGGCTCTGGCGAGTCAGCGGCATTCACCTCCTTGGCGCACACTCTAGTCAAAAATGCGGCATTCAGCTCCCATTTTTAAACGAACAAGCCTGGATTATCCTGTTGTCAAAAGAGGGTTTCTAATGTAAAAAATGTAAATCTGTTACCATAGGAACATAATCTATGGCTACTTTTGTAATATGCTTAGGTGATAGCCCAGTGAAACCAGAAGCTGAAGTCCCCTGGTAATTGGGCCCACATGGTAACCATAGCCATTCCTAATGCACAGCCTTTCTGTACGTTAAACGAACACTTACAAATACTTAAATGCCCTGCTGGAAGGGAAGCACAGAGTATGATACAGTAGTGCAAGAGCTATTGCTGTCATAAGACCACTTATGTTCAGTTGTTTCTGACTTATAGCTATGAGATTAATGTAAAAATATCTGCTTGATATTAGCTCAGTTCATGATGGTGCAAAACACTGGATTCATGACTATCAATTAAGTTACTGCCATAAGCAGATATTTAGAGTTTTCCCTGCATGTAAAATTGATAGCTGTATGGGCAAATGCATTTAGTGCCTTGTTAGCGAAATTCTAAGGGATAGATCTGATTTTTGAGAGGCCTCAAAATCATACCTGCTGCGATCCTTTGTATCCCTTTGATTGCCAGGTTCTCCAGTTGGCTCTGACAGCCAGCCTTTTGTTTACTGAACAGGCTTTTTCTATTCAGTGACTGACTTCAGAATAAGGAGTGTACATGTTACAAGCCTCGCGGTTGGATTATAACTGAATGGACCAAAAAATCTCTTTAGTAGCTAGCATCATATCTTGGAACAAGGGGACAGTAGAGAACAAGCAGGGGGTGGGGAGAGCATGTTTGTATTCAAATGCTTCCATGAATTTTTATAGAGAAATTATGGCAGGAAGCCTTGTTGTGCTCCTTGAGGCTCATGAAACCATTAGCATTAGCCTGAGTTCTCGGAGGGTGAGCCGTGGCGATGTCCGCTGTCCAGGGAAGGTAGCACTGCTGCCCTGTAGACTTCTGCTGCCTGTGGTGTGCCTGCAAGGGGCCTTCTGATGCTTGGAGTCAGGGGTAAGCAGGACCTCTTTGGGCTTTTAAATTTATACTGGCTTTGTTTTTGTTTTCTAGGGTTACTGGCATGCACTTAAAGCCATATCTCAAGTTACAGAAGAGAGAAAGATCTCTAGAAATAAGCCAAGACTCCCTGAGAGCCCCACACATGAACCGTCAGAGGTCGCCACAAGAGAAGTATACAAACAATTGCACCAAAGTGAGCATTTTGCCGAAACCTTCCAGTGCGACACCATCTCGGAAGCTTTTGGGAATTCTTTACCCTAATACTATGTGCAATACAAGCGGGAAACCTCCAGCTGAAGGCCCAAGCCCCCGAGAGAAAAAGAGCACCCTGTCTGCAACCATCCATCAGGGGGATGAAGGGGAGGGACCACTGGATGTTTGGGCTGTGGTGAAGCCTGGGAATACCAAGGAGAAAATTGCTTTCTTTGCAGCCCAGCAATGTAGCAATAATCGGTTAGGCTCAATGAAAATTAAAAGCACCTGGGATATTGATGGCAGAGCAGCCAAACGGAGGAAAAAATCAATAGACCTTAAGAAAGCAAAGATTCAGTTGGAAAGGATGAGAGAGGCTAACGCAAGGTGCTCTCAGCCTGAGCCTTTTGCATGTGGCATTGAACATTGTTCTGTGCATTACGTGAATGAGAACGGTGATGGGATAGTTCCAGGTCGATCTCTATCTGTAATAGAGATGGTGGCTTTTCTGGAACAAAGGGCAAGCGCTTTGCTGGTGGACTGCACCAAAACCTGCACAAATGCCACTTCAACCCGGTTGACTGGTCAACCCAAATGTGCTCCACCTGCCTCGGACCCCTTCTCCACCGTTGGCACCTGTGAGGAACATCCCGAGAAGGATGCTTGTGGGACCGGCGAGCAGCAGAATGAGCCCGTGCGGGTGCTGGACATGGTTGCAAAGCTGGAATCGGAGTGCCTGAAACGCCAGAGCGAGCGCGAAGCGGGGAGTCTGTCTAGAAACAACAGTTTCCGGAGGAACGTGGGGCGGGTGTTACTGGCAACTAGCATGCCGGCCGAGAGCGAAACAGTGAAGGCATCTTCCGAAGCCCTTGATCAGGAGGTAAGTTTAGAGGATCCTGTGACGGCGGAGGATGTTGGGCAGAGAACAAAGCGTGGCCCTTTGGTTGACAGTGAATTATGGGAAGTCGCTGCTTCTGAACCACAGTCCTTGCCAGTGCTGGTGGATGCCTGTACGGTGAACACGGACTTTGAGCTGGCTCGAGACCCCTCGGCAGCAGCGAGCAGCAGGTACAGCTCTGAAAGGCTGAGAGAACCTCTCGTCTCTCCCCCTTCAGCACGCCCAAAAGCTGCTGGGCTGCTGCCACCTTCCTTCCAGAGCAAGAGTGTTCTCAATTGTACGTCCGAGCCTGTAACAACTGCTAACCCACGTTCTCCTCCCGTGAGGAAGGAGTCCTTATGCATCAGCATATCTGCCACCAAAAGCGAGAAGGGATGCAGGAAAGACCAGCTGTTTCATTTAAGCTCTGGTGGGGAAGATTCACTACCAGGGAGGCTCTTCTTTCCCCAGCCTGCTCGACAAACCAATCGGGAACATAAACAGTTGAGGGAAGGCACTAACAAAACCCCACAAGCAGCAGCCCAGCGGGAGGATGCTTCTGAAGATGAGTGTGTGTGTGTGAACAGCATTTCCACAGAGCCATTTACCCTCCCAGTAGCTCTCCCAGAAAGTGCTTTGCAGGTACTTGACCCTTCCTGTTTAAAAAAGCAGGTGTCTCATGACTTTTTGGAGACCAGGTTTAAAATTCAGCAGCTGTTGGAGCCTCAGCAGTACATGGCCTTCCTGCCCCACCACATCATGGTCAAAATTTTTGGATTGCTTCCCACTAGGAGTCTGGTGGCCCTTAAATGTACTTGTTATTACTTCAAATTTATCATTGAATTCTACAATATAAGGCCAGCAGATTCCCGCTGGGTCCGCGATCCCCGCTACAGAGAAGATCCCTGCAAGCAGTGCAAAAAGACGTATGTGAAAGGGGATGTGTCACTGTGCCGATGGCATCCTAAGCCATACTGTCAGGCTTTGCCATATGGGCCAGGATATTGGATGTGCTGTCACAGGTCTCAGAAGGGCATCCCTGGATGCAAATTAGGTCTTCATGACAATCGTTGGGTTCCTGCCTGCCATAGCTTTAACCGTGCTATTCACAAGAAATCCAGAGGAGCAGAATCAGAAGAAGAATATTAGTGCACATACACTTTCTTGTGAGATGTTATCCTTGGTAGGAGGAAATTCTTATGCCTTGTGCTGTTTACAGTGTATATAATTGTTGTGGTTTTTTTTCCCCACAGGGCTATGAAACTGCACATACTTAAACACGAGAGCCTTTACCTTTTAGATTTAAAGATTAGCTTTTAGCCCCATCCATGTAAATAACACTATAAAAAAAACTAATTGTACATATAGAGTCTACAGCTGGCTGAACAACTTTAATCACTACAATGCAGCTATGATAGTGTTGCGGCTACAGTTGTGTGTGTTTTTAAGTGTCTTGTTCCAAAATCTGTATATCCTGTATAATATATGAATGTTTCTGGGAAGAAACTCTAAATAGGTAAAGGTCAACTTGTTTAAAGGATCGTCAAATGAATTAACTGGACAACCTTTAAAATTAGGCTAGAACAGATATGTCATGGTAGTGTGGCAGTGGACAAAAAGAGAAGAATATTATTGTATAGTCAGAATATAAAAAAGTTCTTGTCTACCTTACCCTAGTTGTCTGGTTTTTGGTTTGTTTTTTTTCTTTTCTGTTTTTGTTTTTCATTTTTCTTTTCTTTTAATAAAATGTGCATTCTGGATCTGCCTTATCTGACTTCCTCTCCATGTGACACTGCCCTGAGACCAAGTAAAGTAAAACCTATGGGCAGCAGCTTAAGCTGTGGTGTAGCTAACAAGAACTACTTTCAGGACGTGGATGGGAAGGGGCTACCTGGGCCACTGAGTCCAGCCCTTCTTGCTGGTAACTAACTGCTTATCCAGTCTTAAAACATGCCCACTCCACACTGGCACTTCAAGAGCAGGAAACCAGGGCAAAAATCTGAGGAGATGAGACTGTAGCAGAGAAATGAACTGTTTTACCTCTTGTGCAGAAGACTCCAGGAAGAGGACCATGTCTACCTACAGAGGAAACCACTGCATTTCTTTACCTGAAGAAGAATTCCTGATTCTGTGCTTGAGTTTGACCCTGGGACAGAAGACCAAGACCCTCAAGCCAGGTGCCTGTGAGGTTTTTAAGTGCTGGCAGAAGCTCCAGAACCTGCCAGTCAATTTTCAGTCTTTGCTGTAGGGATTTGACTTGTATTTAAAAATAAATAGCAAATAACTCTTATGAAATGGCCTGTCATAGGCATCAGGGGACCATTTGAGCTTGTGCTCTTCTGTGCTAATTTTGCTGCTTGATGGTATGGAGTGAGCTTGGAGCACCAGCTGCAGGACTTAAAGGCAACTTTTAGGTCATGTCTACAGCAAAGGTTGGAGTGGCTTATGCTTTTTTTTTTTAAAGCGGGGGGTACTACTAAGCTCCCAATTTAACTCTCTCTTTAGTCCTCAACTGTGGCTTGGTTCTAGTTGGCAGCTGGCTACTCATGTACTTCTGTTTAGATTGGTGAGATGACTGCTGTCTGTTGGACTAGGCCCAGCAGAAATAATGCTGAGCCAGATCGTGGGACTGGCCTCACTAGCTATTTTGCTTATGTGAAGTTCAGCGAGGTCCCCCTATAGGTACAATTTGCTTTCAAGTGATAAGACCCAAGCTCTGGGGGAAATTAGCCTTAAAAGAAATTCCAGGCAGTGCAAAGTCCAAGAGTAGGCATGTGGACCCTCCACAAAGGCTCCAGCCTTGGGTTTTGAGCTGTATCTACACGCTAGTGTCCCTGCAGGTATGGATACCACCTTGTGCTTATCTGCCCCTCTATGGCAGCCTGAGGGATCTGCACTTCTTCCTGACTTCTTGAACAAGTTCACCTTCTTCTGTCCAAACTGAGCAACCAGTGCAAAGACCTCCAGCTGCACAAGATGACTCCCTCCCAAATGGGAATAAACACAGGACTCCTAGGAAAGCAGGGCTGGAAGGGACCCTCACAAGATCATCTAGTCCAGCTCCCCACTCAAAGCAGGATCATCCTTGACTATGCTGACCCAACCAGGTGTGTCTATCTAACCCACACCTGAAAGTTTCCAAGCATGGAGAATCCACTTTTATATTTGGCTACGCTCAGAGAAAGTTTCTCCTCATCTGCAGTCTAAATATCTCTGCTGCAGCTTCATACCATTGCTCCTAGTCCTGACTCCTACAGCCACTGAGAAAAGCCTATTTCTAGCCCATGCCAGAGCCCCAGCCAGACAGGGGTCTTGCAAAAGCATTATCCAGTCAAAATACCAGCTGTGCCTGGCAGTCATTTTATTTGTAGATGCAAACATCAGTTGTAACAAATTGGAAGAACAAGAGCTTCAAATTTTGAGGATTAGTTAGGTAAAGACAGATTTTTTTCAGGCAAGGCAGAGAAGTGAACATCCAGCTTCCAGGAAATAAAAAGATACAGCCAAGGGTGTGAGTGACCAGCCCCAGAGCATCAACACTTAATTCAGCAGGGCCAGAACAAACTAATTTAATCCTAAGTAAGCCTGTGGAGTCTCCATCCCTAGCAATTTTTAAGAGCAGGTTAGAGAGATTCTGGGCTTGGAAGGTTTAGTCGGCTTGAGCAGGGGGCTGGACTAAATGTGATTTGAGATCCCTTCCAGCCCTGCTTTCCTGAGCCCAAGAGGAGCCATTAACCTTAACCCACTGTGCTGTAGTGATAACCTACTCGGTGCAGGAGTAACAAGAAATCTAGTTCAGGCAGAGCCTCCTGTACATGCATACCAGCCAATGCCAGAAATAAGGGAAGGCAGGAGGCGGCAAATGGAGCCATGCCACTGTCCATGGTGACATGCACTGTCTTGTTATTGTCATGGCTGGAAGGGGTGAAGCAGCAGACTGTGCTGAAAACTGGTAGAGTTTTCTGAGCAGGCCTTGTAATATAGTTTAGTCTAGTCGTTGCACTTTATGCACTCCGGGCAAAGCAGCTCTCCCAGGAAACATCACAGCAGGCCAAGACCATCAACATGTAAAGCTTGGCTTCATTTGAAATCATTGCATGCTCACTGCTGGCTTCAATAGGCATAGCCCTGGCCACAGCAGTAGCCAGGCCTTGGGGCAGCACTCCCCTCTCGCTACTGCTGCAGTGCAGAAGTTTTGGGCTTTCAGGCTTGGCTGTGCAAAGACAAGTGAAGTTAAAAACCTAAAAGGAAGGTGTGACTGAGCTGAACAAGCTGTACAGAGCAGCTGCTAAAGGCAAGGGCAGGAGAAGAGCAGGTTCCCTTCATTAATAGACTCTAAGCTGTAACCGGGGCCCAGCCCTCCCACTCCTGAGGAACACGAGACTTTACCTAAACCACATGCTTGTTCCATGTCCTGCCCTCCAAAACCCCGCTGCTGAGAAAAGCAGCAAGGCAGCATGCAGAGACCATTTGAATTTGCTTCACGGAAGCCGTCAGCATCAAAGCCTCAGGTTTAATGCAGAGCAGGGAGAAAATGCTCTCCTGCCCCCTCTTCTTGCCCAGGGTCACTGAGATAAGATGCTCTTGCTAGGCAGGGCCCAGCTGAAATAGCAGCAGCAGGCACAGAGCAGAGGAAAATATCCTGTAAATAGATAAGGGCTGTTGAGGCCACTTCTGGAACAGGGCATGCAATTCTGGCCCGCTTACTAGGACAAGGCAAGGGAGGGTGAATGAGGTGGGCTGCAGCTCCTGAGTCTGATCCAGAGGCATCAGATTCCTTGAAGACTATTCAGCCACAAAAGGGAAAGAGCTGTGCCTCCTG